GGGCAAGCGTGGCCAGCACATTGCCAGCCTTCCAAGAGACTGTCATACAAGCTTAGGTGTGACAATCACTGCCTTTGGGGGATTTAGAAAGACCCACAGATAACACAAAACCATATACTAGTTTATGCAGTTCTTAACTTGACTTCCATACAGTAATTACCAAGAAAGGATTTTAAAAATGCATAGGTCCGGGGCTGGAAATATGGCTCAGAGGTTAAGAACAGCCAGTGGGCTGTTCTTCCAGAGGACCTGAGTACAATTCCCAGCACCCACATGGCTTTCAACCATTTGTAATGAAATCTGATTCCCTCTTCTGCTGTGCATGAAAAATGCATAGGTCTAACTCAGTATGGTGATACACACCTGTAATGCTAGTTCTCTAAAGGCAGAGGCAGGAGAATCATATTTTGAGGTTGGCCAGGTCTGTAGAGCAAGTTCCAGGTGGTCAGGTATTCATAGTCAGACCTTGTCTCAAAAAGGAGGGGATGGGAACTAGAGAGAGTGCTCAGTGATAAGAGCAGTGGCTACTCTTTCAGAGGACCTGGGTTCGAAACTCAGTACCCACATGGTGGCTAACAACCATCTGCAACTCCATCTTCAGGGAATCTGATGCCCTCTTCCAACATCCACAAGCACTAGGCATGTGACTCACAAATATACATGCACACAAAAATATATAAAATTTAAAACATAAAATTTATAAAAACATAAAATGTAAAACATATAGAATTTAAATGTTTTTAAGCTTTCCTGACTTTTAAAAGAGATTCAACAGTGTAACCCACACTGGCTCATACATGGAACCCAACATTCAGGAGGCTGAGGCTGGAGAGCGCAAGTTTTCAGTGTACGCATGTTTGTGTGCATGACTGTGGGTGCATGCATGTCACGCATGGCCTGCACGTGGAGGTCAGAGAACAAGCTCAGCAACTGGTCCTCACCTTTACCCTGTTTGAGACAGTTGTGTTTTGTTGCTGTTTGCTTGCTGTTTGTTGCTGCAGACTCTGGGTTGCCTGGCCTTGGAAATTCTGGGGCTTCTGTCTCAGCCTCTCGTCCCACCTCAGAGCACCGGGATTACAGACGGAAACTACCTTGTTGGCTTTCCACAGGTTTTGAACTCAGGCCCCCATGCTTAGAGAGTGAGCACCTTTACCCATCGCCACACTCAATGTGCACTGCTTTCAGAACGGCACATCAGCTCTGCTGCATTATATTTGAGTCGCTAGTCATCCTTCCCTAAAGTTATCATCCCTTTCTACCCTTCCACGTGAGCCTGCTGCCTGCCTGCCTGCCTGTCTACTGCTGGTTTCCTTCCTAAGTTCACACTTTTTTCAGTGTGCTTAGGGCACACCTGTTGCTTTTGCTCTCAGGGTTTCCCCAGTACTCTTTGCATTACAGGGAAGTTCTTAATACCTCAGATAAGTGTTACAGGGTTTATTTTCTCCTGACTATTAGAGTTTGATGCTAGTATGACCAGAACAAGGCTTTATTAAAAAAATTATTTTATTTTATTTTATTATTTTATTTTATTTTATTTATTGGTTTTTCAAGACAGGGTTCCTTGGCTGTACTGGATTCACTTTATAGAGCAGGCTGGCCTCAAACTCACAGAACTCCACCTGCCTCTGCCTGCCCAAGTCCTGAGATGACAGTCATGCACTACCATGCCTAGCTCAGTAACAAGGCTTTTTAAAAAAATAAAATAAAATTATATTAATTACAGTTTATTCACTTTGTATCCCAGATGTAGCCTCTTCCCTCATTCCCTCCAAATCCCACCCTCTTTCCCTCATCTCCTCCCATGGCCCTCCCCAAGTCCACTGATAGGGGAGGTCCTCTCCTTCCCTCTGACCCTAACTTATCAGGTCTCATCAGGACTGGCTGCCTTGTCCTCCTCTGTGGCCTGGTAAGGCTCCTCCCCCTTCAGGGGAGGTGATCAAAGAGCCAGCCACTGAGTTCATGTCAGAGACAGTCCCTTTTCCCTTTACTAGGGAACCCTCTTGGACACTGAGCTGCCATAGGCTATATCTGTGTAGGTTATCTCCATGCATGGTCCTTGGTTGGAGTATCAGCCACAAAAAAGATACCTGTGCCCAGATTTTTTTGGTTCTGTTGCTCTCCTTGTGGAGCTCCTGTCCCCTCCAGGTCTTTATATCTCCCCCTTCTTTCATAAGAATCCCTGCACTCTGCCCAAAGTTTGGCTCTAAGTCCCAGCATCAATAACAAGGTTTTTAAGTATCCAAGTTAGTACTGCCTTGACAAAATACAATCAAACATGCTAAGATACTAAAATCTGCCAAGGATCAAGAAATATACTGCTTTCTAAAAAAATATTCTTTTTAGATTTAGTGTGTGTGTGTGTGTGTGTGTGTGTGTGTGTGTGTGTGTGTGTGTGTACCACGTGTGTGCCAGGTGCCTACGGAAGTCAGAAGATAGGGTCAGATCCCCTGGGACTGGAGTTATAGATGCTTATGGGCCACCATGTGGGGGTTGGGAACTGAACCTGGGTCCTCTGGGAGAGCAACAAGTGCTTTGACTGCTGGACCATCTTCCCAACCCATAAACTGCCTTTTGATGCTACTTATAAGTACAGAGCTACTAGTGGAATCCCTTCCCAACTGATGTAAAGAACTAGGCAATTCTTGTTAGGCAAGATGCTGAATTTATAGAGATTCTACAAAAACAAGAAGGGATGACTTCCTTTTTTCCAAATTACTAAATCTTTCAAGTACCAAATGCATTCAGTTTTCAAAATGTTGGGGTCCTCCTATTCCTGTTTATTGTTGGAATTTACAACATGCCAGGGTTCTGCTGGGGCCATATTTGGAGGTCATTCTCCTGACTTTCCCTCACATTCCTGAAGGGGAGCTGCTAGCAAAGAACTTCTGTAACCCACCTTTCCTGAGAGTACAACATCATTCTCCCTGATGAAGAGTCTTGCCTCAGCCAGAGAGAAGGATGCTATACTGCCAGGCTTAGGCAGGCCTTGCCACACTCCTGCTGCCTCTCCCCCTGGCTCACAACCCTTTCCTTCAAGGATCATTTTCCTCAACCATGTATTCTGTATCAAAAATAAATACAAAAATAGCTTGCCTTAGGTTTTCAAGTCTTCTTTCCAAATGTTCCCATCTCAAGTATAATTTTTATTAGATACATTTGTCTGCTTCTCTCTTGTTAAAATCCTTTGTCCGAGTTGTCAACCATTATTTCAATGAGTCACAAAAAAAAAAAAAAAAAAAAAAAAGTTGCTTTTTAGGCTGAGTGATACCTCAGTGGGAAATGGCTGAAGTATCTCTCAGGCCACCAATGCCAGGACCTCAATGCCAGGACCCACATGGTGGAATAAGAGAACTAATGTCCACATGCTGTGCTCACCATGGCACACTCACCCTTCTCCCCACACATAAATAGATGTTTTTGTTTTATTTTGTTTTGTTACCTTTCCAAGGTCAGTTCAATTCACTGTCTTCTCCATGCAGTGCCTTCTCTGCCTGGCAGGTCCATTCTGACCCCTCATTTTTTTTTTTTCTGGTTGTTTGAGACAGAGTTTCTTTGTATAACAGCCTGTGTCTGTCCTTGAACTCTCTTTGTAGACCAGGCTAGCCTCGAACTCACAGAGATCCACCTGATGGCCACCATGTCCAGCTCTGAACTCTCATTCTTATAAAGACCTGAATTGCTACAGTCAGTACCAGATGATTTGTCACTTGTTCTGTAATTATTGTGTGTGTTTCTTCAGGTTCATAGCAACTTAATCAAAGCCTATCTTAGTCTTGTTCATAATAGCTTACACACCAAATAACACACTTGTCAACTGACAGGAAGGAGGTTTTAAGGAAACAGTAATCTGGGTCTGGTGGCACACACCTGTAATCCCAGCACTTGGAAGGTAGACTCAAGTGGACTGAGAGACCAAAACTACTTAAGCTGCACAGTAAGATCCTGTCCTAAGAGAAAAAAATTACAGCACTTCCACAAATGTAAAATGTTACAGAGCAGAAGCAATTTAGCTACCTCCACACTATTGAAGATCTAATGTATTTTTCTCCCAATTAAGTAGGAAAGGGGGCTATAGAGGAGATGGTAATGTATGCCTGTAATCCTAGCCAGCACTTGGGATAGAAAGGCAGGAACATCTTGAGCTCAAGGCTATCCTAAGCCACATGACAAGTTCATGGCTGGCTTAAGCTATTATATATCAAAGCTCTACCTCAAAGAACATGGGGTAGAGAAAAAGCCCAGTGTGGAAAATTTGCTTAGGGTGCATCTGGTCCTGAGTTCAATGACCAACACTCCAAGAAAGGGAAAAAGTCTCACATGTAGGCAACACAGTGCGAGTAGAGCTAGGGAGATGGCTCAGTGGGTAAGGCACCTGACGCGCAGGCATGAGGGTCTGTGTGAGCATCTCTAGAACCTATGTAAATCCCGATGTCTGCAACCCACTGCTCCTAATAGGGGATGGGAGCAAAGCCAGGAGAATCTCTGAAGTTCGCAGGTCCAGCAGCCTGACATACACAACAGAAAAACAAGAGGCCTGGTTCAAACAAGGTAGAATGTGGACGCTGACAGACAAGGCTGACCTCTGACCTCCACTCCATGCACTATAGTACATGCATGTCCACATAGTCTCATATTTTAACTCCTGAACACCACACACACAAATGAGCATGCACACACATGCGCGCGCACACACACACACACAAATGCAAGTAAGTTTTGAAAAATAAAACCAGTTTTTGTTGCTTAAGAAAGTTTGTTAACTACAAAAGTTAAAATAGACTATGGCATAATTAAGACAATAAAATATTCTTTTGGGTTACAAAGTCTAAAGTACTCCAATACACTTTATATTCCAACTCTTCCAACCTCTGTAACTGAAATAAACGCATGTTCCAATGAGCTGTACTGTATGCCATTCACTGCCTTATTATTATAAACAATCATTACCTGATTTTAATACAAGTTTTTCATACAATGAAAATAACAAACGGTCCACTTACCCCACCCATTGTGATCCCATCAATAAGGGCAACATATGGTTTCCGACAACAAGCTAAAAGAAAGAGAGCTTCGGTTAGAATACCTAAAATATGTACACTTTCCAAAAAGTCACACTGCATGTACTCTAGTTTCCCTAGGAAATGTGTAAAAAAAAAGATCAAGAAAGACTTGCATGGTTTGTAATGTATAGGACTTTTAATCAATTCACACACAGTCACTAAGATGTTCATTATCGTTTAACAACTCAGTCTTGAGTCAAAACAAATGAAAGTTTTGTATTATTTAGCAATTAAAAAAATTAACATCTACTTATAATCCACACACCCAGCTGTGCTTTAAAGAACACATTTGCTTTCTGTACAATGATAGCATCTGGATACATGCAGAGAAGCATACTGCAGATGGGCAAACCCAGAGTGGGAGTGTCAAACCCAGACTCCAGTCTCACCTCTATTACTGAATGAAGAGGCTCATTATGCTTATCACTCAGCAGGCACTGAGTGATAAGATAGGAGTTATACATGACAAACATGTACCAGAGTCTTTCATATATATCATACATAAAGTCTCTTCATCTACAAAATAACATATGTCCTCAAATATCCCTCCCTGCTTGAAAATTCCATTAATCTCATATACTTTTACTGTGTCTATTTCCTTTTTTAGGTTTTCTTGTCATAGAGTTTGCAGACCATAATAAAAACATAAGTTACAGGGCTTTTGTCACAGCTTACTGTCAACACTACCCCAGATGAAGGCCAAGATAAACCTGTATTCTGTTTGGATATTCCCAAAGTTTTCGCATTACACTGTAAATTATAATTCCACAAAGAATCACAGAAAGAAGAGTACTATCCAAGAGGTAAGTCCTTCTTCCGTTAGTGTGGAACAAGTCACTGTCTTTCCAGTCTATGCTGACACAGGTGTTTACTGGCTGTGCTCACTTGCTTTCTCATATTCACTAATTCTTGTATTTTCTGTCCTTCCTTACATCTGTCTGTTTCTGACTCTCTGTATGCCTGTCATCTCAAGTCTAGGGATTGAACCTCAGGCCTTTGGGTTACATATTCCCAGGCTTCTACAGGAATGTTTGTATAACTAGGCAAACAATTCTTAAGCTAAAAGAGAAAATCCAAAGGCAGTCAAGACAAAAGATGTGTACAAAAAGAGTCTCCTATTTTTGGGAAATTTTGGAAACAAAGTGAAGTTATGTAACATATTCATTCCACATTTATTTCTTAATAAACTTTAAGAATTGGTCACTAGAGTACAATATACAATAGTAAAACCTCTTCCAGTAAAAACCAGCAATTACCTCTTATGTATAAATGTAGAAGAGATAGCATTAGCTACACTGGCAACACTGGACAGTATAGAAGCACAAGGGTCCACAACCAGTCCTGAACAGTGAACTGTGACCCTAAGCTGTGGCCTTTGCAGAGTGGACTCATCAAATGTCTTGCAGCGTTAACTTAGCTTGGGCTTATTTGGACAAACTCCCTTCACAAGTCAGGAAACCTTTGTATACTGTTCTACAAATCGATTTTAAGAACACAGCGTTAACAGTATTGTCAATCTTCTAAAAACCATCGAGCATTTATATTACACTACAAATCATAACTCCACAAAGACTCGTGGGGAAAGACTCGTACCAAAGAGGTCATTTCTCCCCATTAGTGCAGAACAAGCCTGTGCTGTTAAAATCAACTTAAAATGTGGTCTAGAAGAATACACTGTACATTAATGACGGCAGAGACTTTGGAAGAGGGCTAAGGTTCCTTCTAGTTAAATAAAGTTACTGGCACTAAGGAAAACCACAAAAGGGACTGACGTGTAACTTTAGAATGTGTTGTTCATATAACACCACGCAAAATGAGAATATTGCTACTATGTCTAGACTTAGAGATACAAGGTTGTATCAACTGAACTTTTCAAAACATGTATGACTAAAGTAAATGCCACTTCACTTCCACACAAGCCTAAACTCTGATTCTAAAGAAATTTTCACTCCAGAGTTCCTAGAGAAATAGAAAATGGTCCTTTATTTTATTTAGAAACCTGGAACACACATTTTCTAGTCTTCTGAGAAAGCTAGCTAAATGATCAAAAATCCGTATTTTCACCTTGAATTTAGACAAATACGTTTTAGAATAGCTAACGAATATTAAAATGCAACTATTCTATAACAAGCAGAATAATTTATCAGTATTACCAACAAGTAAAAATGAATGTTTCCATAAAGAGTGCTTATTGATTGCATTTTAAAAGAAATTACAGTGCCATCCCAACTCTTGATTCCATGTTGAAAGCTCAGAGAGGATCACCCACATACCAATGGCATTGTTCAGGATATATTCTTCTCTGAAAAAATCTTGAGACAAACTCTGTCTTGCTGTTTTAGCTTCTGAGATTGCTAAGGAAGGAAGGAAAGAGAAGAAACTGAAGGAAAATGCAATTGCAAATCATAAAGATGGCTTCCGGTCTGTACAGTCACAGACGTTAAAACAAACTTGTAACCATCCAGTGCGGGGAGACTTTCAGGTGGCTTTAATGTTTGGTGTCACCCATGCTGGTGACACATCACCCTCTGTCAGAGACCCACAGTCCAATGTGAAAAGTTCAAAGCCAAAAGTTATTTTTACTTGGGAGTTACACACACACTTTCACTCACAGTTCCCTCCTCAAGGTAGGTTAGAGACACTAGAACATCTCTTCAAAGCAGGTCACAGTCTCTATTCTTTTCCACCCCACTTCTGGAGCTGGTCACAGAGCCATTCTGACCTGGATTACAAGATCCTCATTTGAAGAGTCCTGTTCCAAGTCTTGGAGGAAGACATGGGCAGAAAAAGTAACAAGGGTTTGGATACACAGGCCTTGCTGGGTTTTTCCAGTTGCTCTACTTGCATTACCTTAGACCTATTTCAATCACATTTCTGCACATTTCTCCATGTTTAACTCAGACTCATATACTGAAGTTTTCAGGAAAACCCAAAGGCTGCAGGACAACTATAGATAATTTATTGAAAAGAATATATCCTGAACAATGCCAATGGTGTACATGTGTGCTTTACTTGGAGCTCTGAAATTTGAGGAGATTCAATAGATCAACATGAGAAGGTTCTACACAGCCAAAAAGGAGATCAAAGTTCTGCAGCCATTTCTTCAAACTTGTCCTATCCTTATATCCTTTAGGACAATACAAGTGCCACCCCAAATTCTGTGGGACACTGTAACATATTAACTGACCCAGACTTATACCCAGACACCAAAACCCATAGATGTCCAAGGTTCTTGGAGAAGATGGCATCACCCTATGCTTTGTAAGTCTCCTCTAGGTAACCTATAACACCAAATGTAAATTATCGCCACATGGTGCTGAGGGGATAAGGAGAAAAAACAAAGGTTGTACCTGTTGGTACAAACATAATTTTCCACCAAATATTTCCCAACCATTAGACAAGGGGTGAACTATACTTTCCTAAAAAAGATGAGCAATGACTGTGTCATTATGATGCAAATGAGTCAGTTTCCTGAAAGGAAAAAAAAAAACTAATCTGTTGTGTCTTTTATTTATTTTAAGCTAATTTATTCAAAACAACTAATTATATATAAATTAAAATTAAATTATATTCACCTTAAATATTTTCTGAGTAGAATTTTCTAGAATTCACATTCACCGTTTTGCACATATAAGCTAAAATAATTCTGGAATTTAAAACTATATTTCTAGCAGGGTGGTGGTGGCACACGCCTGTAATCTCAGCACTGGAAAGGCAGAGGCAGGTAGATCTCTGTGAGTTCAAGGCCAGCCTGGTTTACAAAGTGAGTCCACAACAGCCAAGGCTACACACAGAAATTCTGTCTCAAAAACAAACAAACACTATATTTAACATTTGGTGGTGCTGTTTGGAGAGGCTCTGGAAGTGCAGTCTATGTCACGGGGGACAAGCTTGAGGGTTCATAGCCTCACAATCTGTGCTTCACACTTGAGACGAAGAAAAGCTCAGCTCTCTCGGAGCCCTGCTCTGGCTCCCTACTGCCCTTCTCCCGTCACAGACTCTCCCCATGGAACCACAAGCAAAAGAACCTTCCTCCTGTAGGTTGTTCTGGTTCCAGTGCTTCATCACAGCAACAGAGACTCACTAGGACAACTCAGGAAAAGCAGCAAACTCAGTCAGTGCATTAGGCTTTCCCGTGTGGAGACTGACACAACCATGGCCCCACTCTAAAGAAAAGGCACCCCCGAGGGTGACAAGCAATGTTTTTACAATATTCACGGTACACTAAGACACACAACACAGGCAAACCTGAGACCCTGGGCTTGATCGCTAGTGCTCGTGTGCACACTACACACAAACACACACCACAAACCGCAGTTACAGGCACACAGGCACATAAACAATACACGGTTACATACACAAAGGCTCACACACACAGTATCCCTCTCACTCACACACAGTAACAGGCAATACAGGCACATGGAAACACACACTCACATACACACACACGTACATGTCACACACATACACAGTCTTGGGCATTCCAGCTTTCACATACAATAGTCATAAGCACATAGGCATATCAAATTCACTCAGGCAGACATGCATGCAAAGACACACACACCACACAAATTCATGTTGTGAGCAAATCTACAACTCAGTTAATGCTCACTTGAAGCAATTAAGGTTTCCATTATTAGCCATTTTACATTTCAGCTACTTTAAACTGAGTGAGCATTTGAACTTGGTCCTGAATCTCAACTTTTTTTTCTATTACTCATAATGCAATGGTTTGCATAAACTTCCAAATTTGGTGAACAAATCAACCCAAAGGTTGTCTTTTAATAGTAAAACAAATATGCAAAATCAGAACACAGGGGAAAACTCCCCGAGCCCCACCAATTCCATAAGAAACAACATACAAACCTTAAAACCTTTCAGCAGGGCAACCAGCAGTGACAGCAATGAGTTCATAAACTCCAATCACCAGAACAGATATTTATTATCCCTAATTAATTAAATACATACAGACTGAACTGACCCATAATAAAAAGGAAATTTTCATTAATGTATGTTTAAACATGCAGCATGACCCTACCCTGCTGCCAGCTCGTGCTTGCTCTGGACTGTGAGAGGTGGGAGGGCGATGGAAGTGAGCATGCAGCAGGTTTGGAAAACGGGAAGTCCTTCACTGGGCAGAGACAGTGTTGATGTTGGGGGAAAGGTGCACAAGAGGAAAAGAAAATATCTAAATTTCTCAGCACCGTACATGTGCAGTAAAATAAAATCTCCATTCGAATAATAACAATTCTCTACATTTTTTTAAGTTTTAAAGAATTCTTAACATACACCAAAGAATTCTAAAAAAATTAATCAAAAATTATCTCAAGCATTTTCCAATACTTAGTAGTTCCAGTGAGGTGATGGTTTATAGCAGGCATTTTACCTTTGATATCCCCTCCAGCACAGAAGGCCTTTCCTCCGGCTCCTTTGATGATGATCAGGAATGTGTCAGGGTCTTGTTCCCACTTCTATCCAAACATAAAAGATAATAATGGCTTTTGAGAGGAGAGTAAATACATGCTCATTTAAGATACATTCATATACATATGTGTGCACCTATGAGGTCTTCATAAAACACATCAGAGGAATAGGTCCCCCCGATTTCATCTCATTTCCTAAGCACAGTCTATGACCCAGAAATACCTGTCAAAGCTTGAAGACTGAGATAAATACATGCCTAATGGCACTGAGTCATACACATTCATGGGTCTAAGGAACAAATCAACCAAAGAGTGCTGGCATGTGCTACACCAACCCTTTCCCCCATGGCAACACAGGACTCTTGTTATACCAAAATAATTTATTATACAGGCACGTTCTTACAGAGTTTTAAAAAGGGTTTTGTGAGGTCAGGCAATAAAATCAGCATCATGAGAGTATTGGGTGCAAATCATGGGCAGAGTGCTTGCTTTATAGCCATCCTGTGAAAGATCACTGTTCTCATTTCCTTTCAGCTGAGGAAAGTTGGGCACAGTGACTAACATGCCCCCCTACAGGGTTAATATCAAGAAATCTAAGTTTTGAATACATGCCTGACTTTCAACCCTATACTTTCTAATGGCCCATGCATTTCACTTTAAAAATCTATCTAGGGAAGTAAGAATGGGTAAGAAATATAAAGGTCGAGAGGCTGGAGTGTGGCGTACTTGATTGGCAGGCACAGGGAGAGGAAGGGAAGAGGGCTAGCAAGCAGCAGAGGGAGGAGGAGCTGTCCAAGCAAGTTAAAACAGCTGTCTCAGGGCATGAAGTGCCCACCTCCAGTCCCAACCAGCAGGGAGAAGGTACAGATAGGAAGACTGTAAGTTTGAGGCCAGCCTGGGCTGCCTAGCTAGACTGTCTTAAAAACTCAAGGACACTTTCTATCCCAGCTGTAGGCCCCTCCCCCATCCCCTCCCAATCCTGCCCTCCCTCACTCTTCTCCTCCTGTGCCCCTCCCCAAGTCCAATGACAGAGGAGGTCCTCCTCCCCTTCCATCTGACCCTAGCCTATCAGGTCTCATCAGGACTGTCTGGATCCTCTTTTTCTGTGGCATATTTAGGCCACCTTGCCAGAGGCAGGTGATCAAAGAGCCAGCCACTGAGTCCATGTCAGAAACAGCCCCTGCTCCCCTTACTAGGAAAACCACATGGAGACTGAGCTACCATGGGCTACATCTGAGCAGGGGGTTAGATTCATCAGTCTCTGCAGGAACCCCTGAGCCCAGATATTTTGGCTCTGTTGCTCTCCTTGTGGCTGTGCTCTCCTGTCCCTTCCAGGTCTTTCATCTCCCCCTTCTTTCATAAGATTCCCAGTACCCTGCCCAATGAGTCTCAGCATCTGCTTTAATACCCTGCTGGGTAGAGTCCTGTCCTGTTCCCTGTCTTCTACTTCCGATGTCTATCCTGTTTGCCCTTCTGAGTGAGGTTTCAGCCTCTTCCCTAGGGTCCTCCTTGTTAAGCTTCTTTAGGACTATAGATTTTAGCATATTTATCCTATATTATATGCCTAATATCCACATATAAGTGAGGATATACTATGTGTGTCTTTCTGCTTCTGGGATACCTCACTCAGGATGATCTTCTAGTTCCCACCATTTGCCTGCAAATTTCATGATTTCCTTCTTTTTTATTGCTGAGTAGTATTCCATTAAGTAAATGTACCACAATTTCTGTGTCCATTCTTTACTTGAGGGACATCTAGGTCGTTTCCAGATTCTGTCTATCATGAATAAAGCTGCTATGAACATAGTTGATTAAGGAATAAGTGTTGTTAACATTTAGTTACTATACAGATATACATACACATAGAAAATTTATTTTTAAACTTGTTTTAAAAAAGATAATCTTACTTGGTATTTTCTGACAGTTATTTAAACATTTCATTCCATTAAATCAGTTGTGATATTCAAAAAAAAAAAAAAAAAAAAAAAACAAGCCAAAAACCCGAAGGACAAAGTTATATCAATCCAAAGGCAGTCATGTATAAGCAGGTTAGACTAGTTCATGTTAGGTCTCAAACCCAAGACAAATAGTAAAGGTGCCTATTTAACATATCAAAGAGGACCAGCACAACAGGTTCTCTCAGCATCCTTAGGCCGTGTTACAGGGTATGGCTGGCATACCCAGACTCAATCCTAAAATTCTCCTGCCCAGGTACTGGGCTGCCCTTTCCTAAACTTGGGTTACTCTGCTGTTGTGTGTGTGTGTGTGTGTGTGTATGTGTATATGTGTGTGTGTGTGTGTGTGTGTGTGTATGTGTTTTGTTTTGGGTTTTTTTTGTCTCCCCTTTACTCTGATGGTCTCCTAGCTCTTCTTCTCCCCTCCTCCCTCTCCTCACATGACCAGGCTCAGGGTCATATTCACTCTCCCAGATCCCACTGGAAATGCTCTCCATTTATCTACATACCTAGAAGCAGCCATGTCCTTCTGTTTTGTTTTTGTTGTTGTTGTTATTTGTTTGTTTGGCTTGGTTTGGTTTGTTTGGTTTTTTGAGACACAGTTTCTCTGTGTAGCTTTGGCTGTCCTGGAACTCATTCTATAGACTAGGCTGGCCTTGAACTCTGCCTTCTAAGTGCTGTTATTAAAGGTGTGCATGTCCTTCCTTGTTACTTCTTCTTTTCATTCAGTACACTGATGCTCTAAGAGCAGTCAGCATCACTGTTTAAAAAGTCAGTGAACCGAAGAGTAGCTGAACACAAAAGAAACATGAAAAAGAGCTCTGTGAAGCAGAAGGTGTCTCCTGAACGGTGAGTGGGAATGGGCCCAGAGGAAAGCATCATCGGTGCTGAGTCAACAGTCCCGTGACACAATTCCAGAAATCTTATCCTACAGTGTACTTCAGAAGGATCTACACCATGTTTTCAGATGATTACCGACCTTTAGCTGTGGATAGATCTGCCGGATCATGTTCAGAGACAGCGCATTGAGGAACTTGGGTCTGCTGAGCGTTATGAGCCCAGCACAGCCTCTCCTCTCCAGCAGCACTTCTGCAGCCTCTGTGTGCATGGACACTCTCTGAGAGAACAAAGAGTAACATCACAAGTGTCATTATATGTGTACTGCAAAACACACACCAAGTGCATTTTAGGCAATAACTAGAGGAATGGCTACCTAGGGATGCCTAACAAAGGTTTCTCTGATTATATAGATGGAGTCCACAAGCAAACCATGCACATGTCCTCAATTTTTACTATTTTTCTCTGTGGCTCAAATCAGCTAATCTAAAATACAGCCTCTTCCTTGAGTTCCCTGGACTGTGAAATGCTCTTAAATCTTGTAGTCTGTTACCACATTTCAAAATTTATATTAGGTGCTTAGAAAATGGGGAGAGCAAATAATCTTTCTACATAGTAACTATTGATAACTTGAAAAAAGAAGCATCTGGGCTGGGGTTTGACATACTAAGAAAAAGGGAGGTGAGAATTCTAAGTAGAACAATGGCAAGTACTAGCCATCCACAATGAATTTCTGAAATTGCTGAGATGCTAAAGGTGAGTGCAACAAAGGCTGGACAAGAAAATGAGCAATGGGAGTACAGCCAGGCAAGCAGTAATGCCAGATAACAAGAGTTCAGATTTCTATATTCTGTGTTGGAAAGACGTCTACACACTGGCTTAGGGTCTCACACAGGACTACTTTGCCACCAGTCATGGAACTACCGTACTAACAAAACTGTCTTCCACCCAAAAGGATGTAATGTAGAAACAGATCAGACTGGCACACTCGTGCCCTAAGAGCTAGCATCACTGTTTTAAAAAGTCAGTGAAACTAATAGCGGCAGGAAACAAAAGGAAATGTGAAAAAAACAAAAAAAGAGCTATGTGAAGTAACCACAGTGCCTGTAAGAAACACGAGTTTAACTACACAGCAACCTTATAGGATTCGGACACACACAGCTGCCAGAGCTAATAGCACCACCTTCCCTAAGACCTTGTTTTATCCATGAACAATAATTTAAACCTCACACACACGGTCCATGACTGAAGCTGTGTGAAGAGATTTCTGAGACCTTGTGCCAAAACTCCAAGTAAACAAGAATCCTGAAATCTCTTCCTTCATAACTTGGGTTGTTCTTGGAATATTCTTTTGTGCCCATTTCACGTAGTAACAGAAATGAGTTTGACTTTAGATTAGCCATCATCTTACCCACAATTATTCAGAATGATGTTTCAGGCATGAGTTGTCCTCCTCACTGTATACAGCTTGAACTCAGGTGAACTTTCTCACATCACCTTGTTTAACCCTTGTAATACCCTCAAGATATAAACTGTCTGATGTCCTGAAAACAGCTCGCTATTTTTACTCTCCCAGGTTCATGTCACCAAATAGAGTAGCAACACATGGGATCAGTACACAGTATAAGACTGGAGAGATGGCTCAGTGGTTAAGAGTATGTACTGTCTTTGCACAGAATTCAGTTCCCAGCATCCATAATAGGCTGCCCATTATTGCCTATAACTCCAACTCCAGGGGGATCTGCTGCCATGGCCACCTGTACTCACACACATATCCACACACAGACATTCACACATAGACATAATTAAAAATACTAAAAGTGAATCCAAAACATACACAACTGAAAGTCGGTTTAAAATTTAAAATTGTAGGTCAGTGGTGGAGTGCTTCCTCAGCATGAGCAAATCTTCAATTCAATCCTCAGGACTGCAAAATAATTCAATATTCAGTACCACAAAATTTTAAAGATAAATCACTTTAAATTTTACCTGGACTTGTATGTATTAAATCCATACAATCCACACATATACCTAATATATGATAAAATTTAGACAACTACATTTTGACAGCTTAGACATGTTCACATTTTCCTTTGTAAAATCATGTGTAATTAATTCTTACAATTCATTACTACATAAAAAACAAAAATGATATGCGCTTAGCGGAGCTTTAAGAAATCCCACTGAACAATAGAAAAGTATTCATCCTTTTAATTTAAATTTCTCATCAGAAAAAAAATTAGTTAAATAAAATTGTCCCTGTAATAAGATATACTTCTCAAGCAACTTTACAAAGATCAGAAATTCTGCTATCTTATCCAGTCCAGTGTGTGAGGAAACACATGCTGTGGAAGCAGGAACTACAGCCAAGAAAAACAATATTCCACTTTTTTAAAAAGACAAGTTCTTCCCATGTTGCTCTGTGGCGGTCACGTGCCATGATAAAGGCAAAAGGAGCTGCAGTTAAGTTCTGAACAGTCCACTTACTACACATTAAAAGCAACAACAAAAAACTTTACTGAAAAAGCTTTAGAACTACACATGAGAGCTACAGGCCTTCATAGGCCTATAACGAGAATTAACTGAGTACATTCCTATATTAAGTACTTAGAGGATAGTGCTATAGCAGATGGCTCATTCATACTAAGGGATTCATCAGGTTCTAAAAAAGATACAAAACTGAATTTAAAAGTATTTTCCTATAATCTGATAAACAATGAATGTTTAACTTTGCAAGGTACAATAGGCATAATAACTGCTAAAGTATTAGGTCATTAATACACTATACACTATATTAGTTTAAGATTTTTAAATTTTGTATACAGGTGCTTTGTCTGCATGGCATGTCTATTCAGTAAATGCTTACAGTGTGTTGGTATAAAGTTCTTGTGGAATGTATACACTTTACCTTTGTTCATTCAAATGCTGACTTTGCTACCCCAGTAACTGGTTTCAATCCAGACATTGCATTGTGATGCTTATTCGAAGCATCACCTGTCTCAAGTTTGTGTAAACATGGCACCATCTGTCTCTATATTGTCAATTAAAATGACCAGCCACAATGCTGAGCAATAGAGAGGATAGGGTGGGACTTCCTGGTCCAGAGTGATAGGAAGAGGAAGGAAGCAGGGAGGAGAAGAGGAGAATCTGTAGGAGAGGTCTTGGAACCATGAGGAGAGATGAACTGGACCTAAGATATGACTAAAAGCAGAATAATGGGTGAAATCTGAATGGTAGGAAACTATGCTGGTTTGGAGGTTTAGGAGGGAGTAATTAAATAAATGGAGTTAATTAAATAAATCCTAGTCTCTGTGTGTGATTTGGGTATACAGCTGTTTAGGAAAAACTGCTGCTTAACTAAAAGATATATCAATAGTAAATATTATAGCCCACAACACAGTGCCTGCAGAGGCCAGAAATGGGCACCAGATACCCTGGAACTGAAATTTCATATTGCTGTGAGCCACCATGTGGGTGCTGGGAACTGAACCCCAGTCCTCTGTGATAGCAGCCAGTATCTTAACCATTTTCTCCAGCCCACATGCTAAATTTTTAAAACATAGTATCTCTTTAACATTTAGGAGCAGTATGTGGTAAGAAACCAAGCGTTTGTCCAAGATTAAGTTGCAGACTCAGGATTTAAAACAGGACAGTAGTATTTACCCACATTCACTACAACACAGTGTGATGGAGGTGGCAAGTGGTTAGAAGATTGAGGACAGTGATTAGGGGGTTCAAGGAAACCTGCCATCTCAGTAACATCTCTTTAAATTGTGCCATAAACTAACAATCCCAGAAAAACAAAGGTCAGACTTACCAGATGCCGCAGAACAACACTGGCTCTCCTGAGTGAGCTGAACCTGAAAGGAATGGAGAAGAGCATGGTAACCCAGGCAACCACTCCTTGATGTACAAACTCTATAAAGCCTCTTCTAAAGGTTATTGGAACAAAACCTTGCAAAAGAGATTGACTGTTGACGGGCACAGCAATGAAATGATGGAGCCATTTTAAAGAACTTTGGCAGTTTCTTCCAAAACTAAATACCTTCTTCCCATGTGTTTTAGGAACTTCCTTGGGGATGGAAACAAATGTCAACCCCCTACTTACAGGACATCAAAGACACCTAAGTAATGCCACTTAGTGCAGTGTGGGAAACCAATGACCGTATTGGGGTTACTCAGAGCACATGTGAGTTGTGAGTTACAGAGGTGTGGGGGACCGGAAAGCAGCCGCACCTCCAGAATGTCTTGTCCCAACACAGATATCAACTTTTCCATAGCTACACAGATGGAATCCCTGCTTCTGTTAACCTTCCATGATCAAGGAAGGTTAACTCTGGCACCTTCCAAGACCAAGGTCATGTGCAAGTAGGAAAGAATTACATACAAAAGACTGGGAGTTGCAGGAGGGAGAGGCTAGAAGCTCAGATGAGGGCCTGCTAGACTTCCCAAACCCTCCATGAAAAACTGTCAACAGTCAATAAGCCTGGGCTCCGCACATGTGTAGCTGCATTCACGCCTGCATGCGTGCACACATACCTGTGTAGCTGCTTGCAAGACAATGTGCCACAAAAAGAAATGTGCTACCTACACAGACACCCCACACACAGAAGGATGAAAACTAAATATTGTGTGCTCCTAAGACGTAAATCTGAAAAGACTAACACTGAGATTTCAAGTGTAAAATATTTTGAGAATGACAGAATTCTGGAATTCACAGAAAAACAAACAGCTGTCAGCAATTTAAGAGGGGAGAGGAAAGGATGGTGGTGATATGTTCAAACTAATCTGTATAACACTGTACATGCATTAGATAGTTATTAAAATCTTTGTACAAATTTTCAGTTTAATTTTCTGAAATCTAAAAATATTAATCTACAAATAAAAGTCTGTAAATTTTTAAAATTACATTCTGATTATTTATTTGGGGTATGAGGCATCTGTAATTTTTTTTTTTTTTAATTTGGTAAGGATGCAACACAATATGCTCTGAGACACCCTGGGGGAGATCTGAGTTACTCTGACCTCCTTAATAGGCAATATGGAAATACAGACCTATAACCTCAGTCATAATTTGCTTTCTATTGCTGTGATGAATCCAACTTAGGGAGAAAATGGTTTATTCAGCTTACAGGTCACACACCATCATGGCGTAAGCTAGGGCATGGAGGACTGAAGCAGGGTCATGGAGGAACACTGACTACTGGCTGACTCCTCCTGGCTTGCTCAGTTTGCTTTCTTGTACAGCCCAGAACCACAGGCCCAGGGATGGCACTGCCCATATGATGGTCCCTCCTACATCAAAGAAGAAAATGCCCCAAAGGCTTGCCTGTAAGTCAATCTTAGAGAGGTATTTTCTCAGTTGAGAAAATTTTCTCAGTTTCTCAGATGACTCTAGCATGTGTCAAAATGTCACACACACACACACACACACACACACACACACACATACACACACACACACGAACCCAAAGCCTAACCAGGACAACCTCTAGGTCTTAAACGTTTAGCTGAGTATAGTGGCATGCACACATAGTTCCTAGGAATACTGAGGAAAAAGGACCACTTGATCCCAGGAATTCAAAGCCACACTGCTCAACACAGTAAGACCCTATCACAAAAGAAAACAAGTAAACCTTACATGTCCTTTCACTTTCCACTGCAAGGGCCTGGTTAAATATTCCCGCCAACTCCATGACAGGCCTCATTTTCTTGCTAGACAAAACAGACCTAAGAGTTTCAGGAAGAAAACACACACACACACACACACACACACACACACACACACACACACACAGAAAAAGTCAACCAACCAGAAACAGCCAAAGACATCTGGCCTGGGAAGATAAGGTTGCTTATTCCAGAGTCACGTGGCCTCCACACATACCAGCCAATCCCAAGCCCAGTTATGCAGGAATCCCCCTCTCTGGCTTTAAAAGGAGCTTTGGAGCTCCCCTTGTGGTTGTTGCCACGTTGTAAAGGTAGTGACCCCAGCATGCTGGACTTCTGCAGAATAAACGCCCGTTGTTGCTTGCAGGCTACTCAAGTCTGGGGTCGTTCTTTCAGCATCTCCCGGACCCTCACGCCATCTGGCCATTTCTCAAGCACTTGCAAACTATGATTTACTAACCCATTCAGTTTTTGAACTAGGGGAAAACTGAAGATACCTAACAGCGCAATACTTTTAAACAATGTGTCATCTCCACACAACCATTACACATACTTTAAGTTATGTAAGTAATACAACATGGAGAAAGTTATGACACACAATTTAAAAGCTATCTATCAATAACAGAAATACTACACTCCTCATGTTCTCTAAAAGCATTAGGCTACGAAAGCAGCTAACATAGAGCTTGACAAAAGCGACCAACTGATAGACATGTGATTGGTGATGAAGAAGCTGGGAGAGACATGAGAAGGCAGGAAATCATGTGTAATTAAGCATAAGGTGGTGCACAACTGTAATCTCAGGATTTGTGAGGTGGGACAGGAGAATGTTGAGCAAGAGACCAGCCTGGGCAACACCTCCCAGCCCCTACATATATATATATGTAGATGATGGCTCAAGAATAATATAAATATTTCACTAAGCTATAAACTTCAGAATAGTGCATTTGGTACCTTATGTAAATTTTCATTTAGCAAGAAATTGAGAAACTTGAGATCAGGGAAGGTAATGGCTGGAAGGTACATAAGAATGGCCTCCAAAATGTATTAACCTGTTTCTTGAACCAGCTGACAGTAACAGGCATGCTTTGTTTGTGAACATTAATCAAACTGCATATTTACACTTTTTCAAAGAGTTCCTCCGAAGACAGCATCTCATCTCATGCTCTTGAAGAACTCACAAAGTAATAACCACATCAAAACTGATATTGCTACAGTACTCTGGGATACATGCTTCTTATTGAAGACACTGTAAAATGAACTTTTATTTGTCTGTTTCAACTGTCGTCTTAGAGGCTTACTGCCTCTGTCTGCTAACCTAGGCCTAGTCCTGGAAGCATCTATCCTCCATACAATCTAACCTAGGCCTAGAATGTTTGCAGCCTCTGAGACTTACAGCTTAATAGGATGACCCTTTCTTGTTCTTACTGAGCACTTTTGGCCTTTTTTCCTGGGCTGTTGAGTGAGCTATCAGGCCTTTTCCTCTGGGGCCATCAGCTGAACTAGCAGGCTTTTGGGATTTTTCTATCTAGGACATGAGCTGACTAACAAAGGCTTTTTCCATTGGACCTGAGCTTAGGAGGACGGTCAGCTGAATGCTTTCTCTGCCCCTCTGAGCTAGTAGGTTTTCACGCCAGCACCTGGCTCCTGAGTCTTCACTGGTAAAATCGAACGATTTGCAATTTTCATTTTTTATAACAAGATATTAAACTAAGGAGAAAAAAAAAAAACAAAGCAAGAAACAGTAGGCACAGCCTTGCAAGGTCTGTGCCATCTGCAGATATGCATACATGATGGCACTAATAAACTGCCAGGTCTTGATGTCTTTCAGTGATCCCTTCAATGTAGGTTGAATAAATGAGGCAAGAAAGAAAGAAAACCTAGTAGCACCACGCTTACCACTTAAAAATACATTAAACTGTTGTATATAAACAACTGAAATCCAATTGACTTTCCAGAAGTTATGCTATTTTCCTTTTAAATTAAGTTCAAATCAAGCAATACCACCAAAAGAAAAAAAACACATATTTGTCTAAGTCACAATTCAAATTCTGATCTAGCATATTTTGAATTTGCTCACCTCAAGTGAAATCCTCTGACCCCAGAGTTCCCTATGTGTCTGTACACTACAATCTTTTGAAGACCCCAGTGTTGTGTGTGTGTGTGTGTGTGTGTGTGTGTGTGTGTGTACACTAGAATCTGTTGAAGACTCCAGTACCCCATGTTGGGTATGTGTGTATATGTGTGTATCTGTGTGTGCCTGTGTGTCTGTGAATGTGTACACTAGAATCCGCTGAAGACTCTGGTAAATACCCTAAAACTCTGTTCACAACAAACCCAGTTAAATATAGACTATGGAAGTGAGGCACGGGTGTGGGGATTTCGTTTGAAGTTCCCCAAAATGACTACTACAAAGTGCAAGCAAGTTGTAAAAACATTATAAAAATTAACGTGAAGTAATGAAGGACAGGTAATTTACAAGTATTTTCTAGAAAAGGCTTTTATGCAGGCTTTGGGTGCATGCAGAGGCCAGCGGTCAGGGCTGACTAGTCAAGGCCTAATTTCAAGTTCAAGCTTATTTTTAAGACAAAGCCTTTCACTGGACAGGTTAGACTAGACTTGCAGCAAGCCCAGAGCACCTCTCTCCGCCTCCCAATATGGGCTTTTAAGTGGATGCTGGGATCTGATCTAAGAGATTCACGCCGGTGCAAGCCTTTACTAGCCAACTTATCCCCAGCCCCTCATACAGACTTTTCAAATATGAAACACCGGAACACTCAAAAAATTCTACTTGACTCAATTTTGTCTTTGGCAACTTTTCAGTATTAAGAAGCTTAAGTACCACAAACACATGTGCTTGGCCCTTGGCTTAGTTCCCCAGCACAGCAAAGGAAGGAAAAAAAAAAAAAAAGAATTATTTCTTTCAAACCACAGTGTCTCCAGAGTCCTTAATGAGGCCAGCACCTATGTACCAGCTGAAAGTTACAGAGGGTGCTGCTAGACTGGGAAATCTAAGTAACAACTCAAGCACGCTCTGAGATACTAGGGCATGAGAAACACGGGCCTAACTTCAAATCCCAGTTTAATTAATGAGCTACAGTTCTCTCGCTCGGAATCAAGAGAAGTTAACCCAAACCTACCACACCCAAGTGCAAAACACTGGCAAGGCACTTGTAGGCCACAAAGATCTCAGACTGATGACAATGAAAGTAAAGGAAGTTAGGTCTAACTAATTTCTCCACCATTTTCTATAACAATCATATTGCTTCCATTTAGTGCCATTTATACGAAACTAATATTTAAAAACAAGTCTTGGGGCTGGGGATGTAGCTCAAAGGTACAGCATTTGGTTCAATCCCCACAACTACAAACACATAAAATATGATATGTGAGCGTTCAGTCTCCAAAATTCCAAACTTATTATCTTTCTTTTCTTTTACTTCCAAAACTGCCATCTGGTGGACAGGAGAAGGTCACACACATCTCAGCTAGTGCTGAAGTCCTTGTTTAATTATCAAGCTTAAGTAATACCTTCAAGTAGATATGAAATTAGTTTCTCAAAGTATGGTTCATGGACAAGAACCAGGTATACACTGGCTACTTGGCTTGAAATGCAAATTATTTGCTCCATCAGAGACCTACTACAAAAGAAACTGAAGGCAGGACATGGAAATCTTCCTGGTGATTACAATACATACTAAGGAGTAAAAGCAACCGGGATAGCTGGGCCTTTAGCACATGCCTTTAGTCCCAGCACTGGGGAGATGGAGGCAGGGTGATCTCAGAGTTTGAGGCCAACCTGGACTACAGAGCAAGTTATAGTGAGGCTCTGTCTCAAAAACCAACCAACCAAACAAACAACAAAACACCTATATCTTGGATAAAATTTTTAGAAACTTTCTTTGCAATTATCTACTAAAGCAAATACAAACTTACAAAATCACACAACTCTATGTGAAACTGTTCAGGCCAGGTAGGTGATAAAAGGACCCCAGCAGCTGGCAAGATAAGCAGGGCAGAAAGTCCAATGAGTAACCCAGGGGTGAACTGATGGAAAACAGGGACATGGCTTACTATATTATAAATTGAAAACTCCGAAAAAGAAGAAGACTTCAAGCAAGAATAGAAAGGAGAGTACAGGTCCTGGGACTCTTAAAAGACAATGGCTGCTTTACATGAATAAAGTAGGAATTTGATTTTTAGCTTGTGTTTGCTGTGATATAAAGCAGAAATATTCAACAACAAATGAAGAAAGGACCCTGAAGCCTAACAGAGAAATGAGGACTGGAGACACATTAGGAACAACCACAGAGGCGCTAGAAGATCCACTTGTCTGTAAGGAATCAATACAAACACTGGCGCTTGTGGCAAATTAAGAAGACTCCTACTCCTGTGCCTGGTTTGCAAACGTCTTTGTTATTATTTTCTTCCTATTTAATCAACAGTTATTTTAAAACCACAAGTTCTTTAAAACTAGATTTATTTATTTATACATGAGTGCTCTCTTTGCATGCATGCCTGCATGACAGAAGAGGGCGTCAGACCCCACTATGGATGGTTGTGAGTCACCACATGGTTGCTGAGAATTGAACTCAGGATCTCTGGAAGAGTAGCTGGTGCTCTTAATTGCTGAGCCATCTCTCAAGCCCACCATAAGCATTTTTTTTTTAAATCAAGAGATTTTGCCTAAGCTGCAGTTTTCCAGATTTTCAAAGCAAAAACAAATTTTTAAAAAGCCACCCTGATAGTTGTGGGACTAGAGGGTCTGCATTCTCCTAACAGTACTAATGAGAGAACAGAGAAGCTCCCTCTGAGACAAAGAGCCTTCTCCCTCACCCAATAGTCCCTCACTGGTCCCCACCTCTGTCATATAGTGACCTTCACTAAATGGTCGGTCTCTGATTGGGTTTATAGCTCCTAACCCAGAAAAAAAAAATGGGGGGATGGTTAACAGAGCCTCAAAGAGTGCATCTTTTTACAACTAGACTTGAAGGAACAGAGGCAGCAAACAGCAGGAGCCAAACATTGTAGTTAGGCAGAGGGCAGGAGGTGTATAGCTTAACAGCATTTCTCTTTCTCTTTCTTTCTTTCTTTCTTTCTTTTTCTTTCTTTCTTTCTTTCTTTCTTCTCTCTCTCTCTCTTTTTCTTTCTTTCTCTGTCTCTCTCTTTCTTTTTTTCTTTCTTTTTTTTTTTTCAGAATTAACCTCTTCTATCTAAAGCTGGCTTTACCCTCTCTGCACTTTTTCCTTTGAAACACTTATCAAGATCAGCAACTAAATATCACTTTAAGTATTTGCTTAAGAGCTGGTTAGTACCTGCCCACACTGCCTACAGGATAACCAGTGCCCAGAACAATGTCTCCAGTATTACAACACATTATTTTATTCCAAGTAAACTGGAAGGTACTTAGGAGAGCTTCTAAGCAGATGAAAGCAAGTTCTGAAGTAAAACTCAGTATGTTTTGTGGAGCATTCATATACAGAACTTAATCAAGCTGGAAGAAGTAACCCCACCAAGTTTCAAAACAAAACAAAAACTACTGACAAAGGTCATTTAGAAATCTATTATCCACACAATTGCACACATCTGAAGTGCAACTGAGGCGTTCAGCATGGAGATCAGAAGTGATATGGGGAAAAAGAAAAACACCCAAGAGCTAAATTGGCACTGCAATGGTAGGAACAACAGCATCACAAGGGCAAAGTGAGGCTAAGTTCAACTGCATTAGCCAATCAAATCAACCAAGACACAGCGGTCCTTTCCCTTCCAGAAACACTCTCAGATCCCTTAAACATCTGTGGTGTACGCTTCTCTCCCTCGCGGCTGCGTGGTCTTGACTCCAATCTCTTTTGCCAGGGCAACACCCTTTCCAGGACTGGATCTAGAAAAGGGACTTCAGATCAACACTGCCCAATTTGGTCCTGGCAGTTTATATGCTGGAATGTGGAATGAAATAGGGATAAGCTGAACTACAGGATCAGCAGAATCTTTCAAGATAAAATTAACTTTGTAAATATACGTGTCTCTGCAACATGGTTCCCAAATAGTTTGGAATTTGCCATTATCAAAAAACAGCAACAATGAATATAGGAGCAAATGTTAGTATTCACCACGAAAGAAAGAAAAAAGAGAAGCAAGGTAACTCAATGTACAACAAATATTTAAGAATCAAATAATCGGATACAATGTCAGGTGCTTTCCGCTGAGACCGCACTATTTTAAGATTTACTTTTAATTATGTGTATGTGTGTGCCCCTGTGAGTACAGGTGTCCTGTGAGTCCAGAAGAGACGGTTAGTCCTAAGAGCTGGAGTTACAGTTAGTTATGAGCCACACAGGGAACAGAACTCCTGTTCTCTGAGCCTTTCCTTCAACAGCTGTACAGGCTCTTAAAACTGCTAAGCCATCTCTCTGGCTCCAACACTAACTATTCACTTAGAACAAAGAAACACTCCCGTGCCTTTGCAGGAACCTTCCAAAACAAACTGTAAGTCATAGGAACTTGCAGACCGAATAAGGGTGAGTTCTAACGTTGAGTTGCTCCTGGACCACACAGCCATCTAACAGTAAACAGCACCCAAAAAATACTTCAGTGAAGCGTTTGACAAGCGGCAATTAAAGTTGTTTTTGTTTGTTTGCTTGTGCTTTTTGTGTATGGGGACAAGGCATTGCACAAGCCAAAGCTCCTAGAATGAGTGCTACCACATTCCCTGTGCAGAGGTCGGGGTGCAGCGAGAGGCACTTTTAAAGTTAGTATCTGCGCTGGTGCTTCTGCCAATGCGGGAGCTTGACACAACATTATTCTGTGAGCTCCAAACATCCGCGCTGCTGCTGCAACCGGCTGAAAAGCTAACCAAGTTCTGGAGCCCTGAGAAAGTACCCCACACAAAAAATAACGTGGCACGTCCCCACACTACACCACCTCCAAGAAAGACAACAAAGAATCAAAAGACAAGCAAAGTCGTGCGACGTCAAGGCCGAATTCAAGCTAGAGAGAGCCAAGTAGGAGGACGCGTGCCGGCGGGAAGACTAACTCCGCGAGGCCTGCAGTGGACACTCGCGAGCCGTCTTCTCCAGCGAGAGGGACTGGCGGCCGCTAAGGCGGCTGCTCGCTCGCTAACTCACCTCGACAGGAGCCGCCACGCGTCCTGCTGCCCCATGGCCTGAAAACCCGGAGCCGAAGCAGAGTGGAGCAACCAACCACCTGCCGAACCCGCCCACCACCAACCCCAGCGGAATAGCTGCGGACACCGACGACAAGTCCTCCGGAGGGCCAGAGCGGCGCACAGACCGCATTTCCGCTACGCTCGCGGGCGGGGCAAAACAAGCGCCGGAGGAAATGAGTAAGAGCGAAGGGCAGGGCCGGGGTCTGGGGGCGGGGCCGAGGCCTGGGGCGGGACCGGGGTCTGGGGCGGGGCCGGAGTCTGGGCCGGGGCCGGGGTCTGGGGCGGGGCCAAAGGGAAGGCCGATAGAGGTAGGTAGCCAAAAGCAAAGAGAAGAGAAAACGGAGTTGGAAAGAGAAAGTGAGTTTGCTCCCTAGATTAGGCTGTTTTGGGAAACGCCCAGTTGGTCGTCTAGGTTTGACCTTCAAGTATGACCAGCAGCGGTCGATTGAGCTTAAGAAATTTTGTGGAATTTTAATAATTTCTAAATGCAAAGGTAAATTTAAACCGGAGCTGACGATGCGCTCTTGTAATCTCACAACGCAGAAAGCTGAGGCAGGAGAATGGTCACCAGTTGCAGGCCACCCTAGACTACACAGCAAAGCTCTGCCTCAGAAAAGTAAGTAAATTTAATGTTCTTTGAGAATCAAACATGTATTTGATATCAAGAGCAGCGCAAAGTCTTTCCGTACTCACTGTGCATAGCTGAACTTGCTTTGAAACATTTCTAATTGTCTAATTGATTTGGGAAAAGTTAGAGATCCCTCAGGCTTCCTCTGTCAGACAAAAATGTCTGATTACGAAAAGACTCACCGACTAAACTTGAAGTCGCTTTTCTCAGCGAAAGCAAACCTACACTAGAAAACAGCTTATTGAGTAAAACCCGTATTTAACTACCCACTGCTGTTGAGTTGCTCCTAGACCCACACAGATGTATAGCTGTAAGCATTTCATCACCAAAAATGTATTGGCATATTAATAATAATAAATGAATTCAGAGAAGAGGTTCAGAAAGCCGGAAATTAAAGGAGTGTGTGGCATCCACCAAACTATACCCTATCCTTAAAGAAGTTAGTCGTTGGCATTTAGGATGATCAGATGTTATCTTTCTGGTGTCATTTATAATAATACCCAGAGAACAAAGGAAGCCAACAGACACAGGGAATTCCTGACCTGACCTGCAATTAGTCCTCAAATAGGTGCAAGCGGTCACATTTGGCTTCACCGTCAAATGGCATCCATCATTCGGCATTCATTTTGGGAAAGAATGAATGTATTAGCCTATCTAGCATATGTTACTGAAATATGAGCTTTTCGATTGTAGTCACAGCTATATCATCCTTTTCCTGACTTCATGTGAAGGGTCCTGTCTCTATGAATACAGGGGCCCCATTCTGGTCTAACTCTGCTATTAAAATATTTCATTCATTTATTTGCTGTGTGTGTCTATACGCATTCAAGTTCGATGGTGCATATGCAGAGGTCAGAGGACGACCTGCAGGAATTGGTTTTCTCCTTGCTCCATGTGGGTCTCAGCGATGGAACTCAGGTTGTCAGGCTGAGAGGCAAGTGCCTTTACCCAGTGAAGCATCTTGATAGTCCCCTATTAATGTTGGAAGAAAGGGCTCTACATTTCCACTTTATACCTTAAGAAATGTAGTCCTCCCCTCAGCATCACGGCTCACTAAAGAATTTGTTTTTCAAGACAGGGTTTCTCTGTGTAGCCTTGGCTGTCCTGGACTTGCTTTGTAGACCAGGCTGGCCTGGAACTCATGAAGAGCTGCCTGCCTCTGCCTCCTTAGTGTTAGGATTAAAGGCGTGCACCACATCCGGCTTATAATATTTTCATTATTCCATAAGGATATTCTGTATCTATTCTAGTTAGCTTTCTGTTGGTGTGATAGACCATAAACAAAAGCGTCAGCTTTGAGTTTATATATAGTTCCTACCCTGATCTGAAGGAAAGCAGAGGCCACAGAAGAACTCTGCTTGATGTCACATAAGCCTATGTTGGGCGTATAATGTATAATTGATAATTAATATGTGGACCTTTGCAATTAGCTTCTTCCACTCCACACAGTATTTTCTAAGATTCATTCACATATATTAGCACTTCACTCCTTCTTCTTACTGAATCATGCTTTTTACATTGGTGGGATTGTATGTGAGAGGGAAGAGGGGGTAGGAGGATAAAGAGGGAGGAAGACTTGTTTAGAACTGTAGATAGTTTAGGATAACCTTGAACTGATCTTCATGTTTTGCTTTCCAAGTGCTGGAGATTACAGGAGTGTACACCACATGCCTGGATTACGTGACATGGGGAATTCAACCGCGGGCATCATCAATGCCAGGCAGGCACTCTACCAACTGACCTGCATCCGAAGCCCCCAGATAGATCACTTCTGTTTGGAATTTTTCATCAGTTGATAGATATTCTGTTGTCTCCACTTTGGGCTACTATGAAGAGACATGCTGTGAACTTTCCTGTATTGCTTTATGTCACATAAGCCTATGTTGTCTGTGGTCTGTGGTCTGTGTTCATTTATTTTAGGTATATATGTAAGACTGGAATTGTTGGGTCATAGGTGAACTGTCTAATCACTTAAAGAAGTGGCTGAAATAAAAAAAATAATCTGGTTGTTTGGTATTTTCATCTAAATCTCACTCTGTGGGCCTTCCTTGAGAATCGCTGCCATGTAGAAGCTGCCTTCTACCAGAGCAAGAGGTCCTGGGGAGACAAACACCAACAGCAAGATGAAGTATTTTTATAACCTAAACTTGGAAGTGATTTACCACTGTGTGTTTTATTGGCCACACAAGGCAAGGAGGCAAAGAGCCTTGAGGGCTGTCTGGAAACTGGTTCTTACACTTGCTTCTTTCTTTCTTTTCTGGTCAACAGTCAATCGTTGAAGCACCTCTATAATTTCATTGAAAGGTCTCTCAGATTTCCCTGCTCAACACACACATGCTGCTGTGCTCATCACCCTTGTAATTCATTCCAAATCCTACAACTGCTCCAGGCACCACTCCGTATGCATTTCACACCCAAAAGTGAATCTTAAGATACCACTTTTTTGTTTGTTCTTAGATACTAAATAATCTCACAATTATGTGTAGCTATGTTTCTAAGACTAGATATGTGGAGATATTGAGCCACTGAAGTGCAGCTAATCTAACTGAGGAAACAAAATTCTTAAATCTTGAATTCAAACTGAAAGCAGTATAAAATTATATTTAATGCATATTAAACTGACAATATTTTAGATATACTGAGGTAAGGAAAATATGATATGAAAGTTGATTTCACATGCCCCTTTTCAGGAACCTTTTTAATTTTACATGTGACTTAATTTTATCTGCATTAGCCAACAGTGGCCTCTCTCATTCGATTCCAGCTGACTGGTTTGGGGCCAAAAGAATCCAGTCTCCACCTTATAATTATCACCCTTGTTTCTCATTTATTTTTCTTATTCTTGTCACATGCATCCCTCCTGGAGGACCCTGCTCATGTGATGTTGATTTTCTGTCCTGCTACCTTAGCTGACATGGTGTCTTAGATCACACTTTTACCCTTCCTAAAGGCTATCCTGGACTCTAGACATGATCTTCCCAAACTCTTCACTCTAGCCTGTGCTGAGCTTCTATTTTCTGAACTTTAATTACACTTCTAATAAGCATAGCCCACTGCTGCTACATGATTCTTTGTTGGATGCTAATTTTGTGTATGCGCATGAGTGTGTCTGTTCATGCATGTGCAACTGTGTGTACAAGCAAGTGCATATGGAGGCCACTGGTGAACCACAAGTGTCACTTCTCAGCAGCTGTCCATCTGGTTTTCAAGGAGTCTTGGACCTGGGATTCACTTGCTGGGCTCATCTAGAGAGCCTACAAGACCCAAGATCCGTCAATCCCCAGCTCTGGATTACAAGACTTACTCTGCCAATCTCTTCACATGGGCATCAGAGATCTTACTCAGGTCCTCAGTCTCTCCATGGCAAACACCTTACCAGCCAACATCTGTCTCCCAAGTCCCAATAATCTTCTTTCCCAAACACAAATTGGAAGTGTCATTTAGCTGATCATGCAAGAGATTTTGGTTATGAATAACTCTTACATTTAGATTAGGGTAAACCCCTTTGTGTGGAAAAAATAGAGTATAAAATTTGTCAAAATGCAAATGATTCTTAAATTAAGTTCCTATAGTATGTCAAAGACAATCCAACATCAGTGTTTAATTGTTATGGTGTCAAAAAACAAGAGCTGATGCAAAATGAATAAACTGTAATTAGAAAATTAATTTTAAAAAAAAGAGCTAACACTGAAATGCTGCGAGGCAAAAATTTTATTTTTATGGCTGAGCCAGACTTACACAGTCTTATCAGGAGTAGGAGAATTAAAGCCCAGACCAGAGACAGGCCTTTTTATGGCAACCAAGCCAATGACTTAAAAAAAAAGAAAAATTTGAACTTATTTTCATGATTATATACAGTAAGAATTTTTGGTTTTTTAAAACCACAAAAATATTAGAACATGTTTTTGTTTTAATCCCAGGTGTGGGATATGGGGCTGCTTCAGATTGTCCACAGCAGCCATGATTTGCCTTGTGTTTTGCCAAGGGTGTGATTTTGCAGCTGAGGAATTCTGGGGGCTCTTCAGAAGGTATACAATGCAAGAGCCCGAGAGGCAGAATGGATGCTGCTCCCCACTGCTGCCGGTGCCTCTGTTTATTCCTGCTGCTGTTTGTTTCCAGTTGCTGGATTCTGGTTGCAGTTTGGAGATATGCTGAAGATAACTCTCAAATGTGCCTCACAGACCTCAACTCCCTAAGAGACCAAAAACGTAAAAATTCGTTTTGGGGGTTATTGAATTAAAGTTTAAAGCACAAGCCTGTACGAAGGCTAGCCAGGTGGAGACATGTCCAACCACCTTCGGGAGGAACTAGCCTTACCACATTCTTTTCCTGCCTACTAGAGATACAGTTGCTAGGAAACCGGTCCAGATGGCCTGACCAGAACCACTTAGATTACATCTCCTAGCAACCCACCCAGATGGCCAGGCCAGAACTGTTTATGGTCTTGACACTTAAAGTAAACCAATCATTTCAAAAGTCAATTTCCCTTACCCAATCATGTAACACCAAGGCATGTAACTCCCTGCTTCCAGTTTTGCCCTTTAAAATCCTTGTTTCCCTAGACTTCCCCGCTGCACTCCTCCTCTTCACCAGGGAGTTTGCTGCGACCTGGGCTCAAGCTTGTATTAAGTAAACCCTCATGTGTTTTGCAACAGACTCAACTTCTGGTGGTCTTTTGGAGTCTCACGATCTGGGTACAAAAATTGGAGGTCCCACCAAGATTCTGGGACCCCCCACCGCTGGACCCCAGAACCTCAGTCTGGAGGGTCTAGTACTGGCTGGTAAATAGTTTTTGTCTCAGTGTCTGTGTGCAGTGTCTGTGTATGTGTCTACTTTTTGTTCTCTGAAAAACCTCGAGATGTTCATTTAAATGACAAGACATGGCTAGGAGAGGATGCACTTGGTGGTCACAGCCATTGGTATCCCAGGAGACATCCCTGGCCCTGGGATGGTTGACTGAGAGTCTACCTGCCTGTTTTTGGTGGATGAGGTTAGAGTGGTTGACGGAGAGCCCACCCACCAAGTGGAGAGTTTTGGTGGACATGGAATCCCACCATCTACTCTCCTCTCTGTGTGTTTGGCTTCCATGGCAGGGAAAACAGAGCAGAAATCTGTTGTGCTTATCTTTCTATTTTGTTATGAGAAACCTCTTTGGGGCGGATGTTGTGCCTGTCCCACTCTGAGACAGCCTTTTGCTCTTCACTCCCTCCTACCCCCCCCCCCCGCAAAAACCTCATGCATCGGATCTGTTGCGTAGCATAATTTCTCAGTGGCACACCTTGGCACTGACCTGCCAAAGGTACCCCAGCACTCACCACATTTATCCCATCAAATGGTTTGATGAAGATATCCCATTTAGGATGTATTCCAAAGTCTTGAATTTTCTGCACACTGTCCAATTGTGGGTCTCTGTGTTAGTTCCCATTTACTTCAAGAGGAAGCTTCTCTAATGATGACTGAGTGAGGCACTAATCTATGGGTATAAAATATCATTAGGAGTCATTTTATTGTTATGTACCTTTAGCAGAACAATGGTCTAGCCAATCTCAGGTTCTTGGCTTCTCAAACGGTGTCAAATATAGGTTCCATCTCTTGGAGTGGACTTTAAATCCAGTCAGAGAGTGGTTGGTTATTCCCACAACATTTGTGTCTCTATTGCACCAATGTATCTGTGGGCACATCATCATTGTGTATAACAGGAATAGCTGGGTTGGCAGTTTCCCTTCTCCTCTGGTAGTGTGCAATAGTACCTTCCAGTACCATGAACACTAGTTGGTAGGGGAAACGGCTCTAGTTAGGCACCAGATTGACTTCTCTGTGTTCAATGAGATAGGAAGGTAGTTTGTTTGAGTAGTTTGTTTGGGTTTTCTTTCCCCCTGAAATAAAGCCTTACCATCAATTTGTAGAGAGCAACCTGTAACCTTGACAATACCCTAAGTTATTTGGGGGTTTTCAGAGGATCCCTTTGGCCAATGCCTCACTAGATGTAACTTATTTTCTGGCAGTGGATGTTTCACTTGGTGGCAAGAGATGTCTAGTTGGGACATTATTTTTTCCATTATTTGGTGACTCTTAAATTTTCTTTAACATATAAATACATTTTAAGAAGCTTCTACAGTAGAAGGTTTCCATAGGGTAAGTTTCCTTCAAATGGCCCTCAGTGTTGCTTGGTCCTCCCCATAGTCCCTCTTTTACCCCTTGTCTTAGTTAGGGTTTCCATTGCTGTGAAGAGACACCATGACCACAGCAACTTTTATAAAGGAAGATGCTTAACTGGGGCTGTCTTACAGCGTAGGAAGTTTAGTCCACTACTATCATAGCATGAAACATGTAACCTACAGGCAGGCATGGTGCTGGAGAGAGCAGAGAGTTCTACATATTGATCTGAAGGCAGCCAGGAAGAGACTGTATTTCACACTGGGCTGAGCTTGAACACAGGAGACCTCAAAGTCTACCCCCCGCAGAGACAGTTCCTCCAACAAGGCCACACCTACTCCAATTAAGGATACATCTCCAAATAACACAAGTCCCTATGAGCCAACATGCAAACACATGAGTCTATTGGGCCAAACATATTCAAACTGCCACATTCCACTCCCTGTCCCCATAGACTTGTAGCCATAGCATAATGCAAAAGTGCATTTAGTTCATTCCAGATATAGTCAAGCTGACAACTGAGAACAGCTATCACACCCCTCTTCCCTCCTCTTCCCCATTTAATCCACTCCTATCTCTCCATAACTATATATTCTAGTTATTTCCTGGGAGATTACCAAAGGCCTGAGAAGCCACCGTACAGGTATTTAAGAGGAAATATGACATAATCAGACTTGAATCCAATCTGCCTCACTTTGAAGCATATAAAGTATGTCAGAGGTTTCCCAAACCCTTCCGTGGATGTGGAGAGCTGCTTGCTTGGCAAGCTGCTTTGTTATTGAGTATTCAGCAAAAAAAACATATTTTCACCCTGGCCTTTACCTTGAAACACATATAAGTAGGATATTTTGCCAAGTTCCTTTAATTTGTTT